ACACACATATATATACATATATATATATACATACACACATATATATATATATACATACACACACATTATATATATATACATACACACACATTATATATATATATATATATATATAAAAACTTCTAAACTATATACTTTGAAATGAATGAACACCACAACCTTGACATTGTGTTCAATCTACTTCAGCACTTTTTTTCTTGTTTTTAGCTCCTACCTTCTGCTTTGATCATTTTAGCTGCAAGTTACAATTCTGCTCTTTTTAGCCTTTAGATATTCTTTTGACAGCTGTAGATTCATTTATTTATTGCTGGTTATAGCTTTTAGCTACTGTTTTGTCCATTTTAGCTTTTAGCTTTTGATTTGCTCATTGTATTTCTTAGTGATTAATCAGCTACGTTTAGCTTTGAGCTATTGATCTGTAGGTTTTAGTTTTATTTATTTGTTTTTTAACAAAGACCCTTTTTTTTGGGTTTACACACAGTGATACAGTAAATAAAGAAATAAAGCACATAAATTGCCCAACTGAACAAAGATCTATGGATGATTTTTAAAGAAATTTGAATCATGAAGCTAATTTCCAGCATGAGCAGTAGCAGTTTGCTCAGACTGTATCACTTCCTGTCATCAGGTTAGAGCTAATAACTCTCATGCTGTCAGTTTACTTTCATCCCTCCTGAAGTTTCACTCACAGCTTGAGGAGGCGCACCTGAGCAGCAAACTGGACCCAGTCTTACCTGGCGCTCCTGGAAACCTCCTGCAGCTCCTCCTTCTCCTTCAGCTCTTCTTCCTCCTGCGACCACATCACTTCCACCAGCAGCTTCCTTTAACAGAGAGCCGTCAGTCTGGTCCGGGAGCAGAGAGCTTCTGTATGGCTGCTCCTTCCTCTGCTGTCAGACACACTCTGACCGCCTCCTCCTCCTCCCACACTAAACAGCTTTGCCTCCACCTGATCCCGCCTCATCCAGCCAACACCAGCTGGAGCTGATGGCCGGGAGTTCACCCTGAGAGCTGCAGCTCCTCCTGCTGCTGGGAGGAGGAGGGGAGGAGAGAAAGAAAGAAAGGATGACTTTGGTATTGGTAAGTGGGGATGGATGAAGAACCCATATGAGTGAGGTTCTCATAGGTGGGCCCATTGATCTCCCCAAAAAGGCACTGAGCTGTATTCAAACCTTCATGTCCCTCGGATGAAGGTCTGAAACACAGTGTTCTGCGCTTCTCGTGATCAATGAAGGATTATTCAATAATTCTTCCTCTTTGACTGCTCAGAGCCAGGCAATGACCTAAATAGTGCAGAGGTCTCTAATTCAATGACACAGGCATCACACAGACGATTGTCATAGAAGCCCATCAGCATTTTGTGATGGTTGAGCAGGTTGCGCCCAGTTAGAACTCCATCATGTGCACTGAAAGGTTTCCATGTCAGGGCGATGAAATCTTTCCCAAACTTAGGATTTGGACCGTTATTCAGCTCCCGTGCCTGTCTACAGTCTGTCAGCTCCCTCCAGCAGATTGTGTTGACATCTAATCCAGGCCTGAAGGGCAGTTCTGCATACGGTTATTGAAATACCTACGACAGTTCTAGAATTGCGCTGCTCGGGGCGGCAGCATGTTGGAGCATCTCTGTTACCTTCATTGTGAGATTTTGCTTTTGAAAACTTTAATTCCTCTTTTTCTGGATGTAAATCGCCTTTTTCAGATGATTATGTCCTCTGGTATTGGATGCTGTGCAGCTGTAAGGATTTTTACTAAAACTTTTTTACTTTTGAACATTTGTTATGATGCGTAACCATGACAACAAGGTGGTTTTCTACAACTGGGAGCTGCTGATTAACATCTCAAAGCGCAAATAATATCTCAACTACAGCTCCAAATCTGCAATGAGTTGAAAAGGAGGTGTCATGGATGCATTCTTATCTACCTGGAGGTAGTGTTTGAGTGCCTGACTGCTGAGATCCTGGAGCTGGCGGGAAACGTGGCTCATGACAGCGGGAGAACCGAGATCATCCCCTGACACCTGCAACTGGCTGTCGGTGGCAAGCGGTTCGGCAGGCTGCTGAGAGGAGTGACCGTCGCTTGGGGGGTTCTGCCCAGCATTCAGGCAGACCTGCTGCCCAAGAGGACCAAGAGGTCTGCTGGGTCCAGGTGGACGGATCAGCATCTGCGGCCAGTTTCTTCGGATCCGCTATGGGATGGACTGCTGTGGGAGCTCCTTCCTGCCCACAGCCATCAGCATATATAACAACTCTTTAATGAAACCAGGATGATGAGCTACAACAATTAATTTCCCTTTGGTATTAATATTTTTGAACTGAATTGAATTTGAACAGGCTCTGGTCCTCTGAAGTGGGTCTTACTGCTGGCTTTTGCAAGGTAGTCAGCTCTTTCATTATCATTAAAACAGTATGTCTTTGTACCCATTTAATAGTAACAGTTTTGTCTCTCCTCAGTTGACTGACTGCTTCAGCACACTCCCAAACCAATAATGACATAAAGCGTGGCCCCTTGGAGAGCTCTAATGGCAGCTTGGCTATCTGTTTGTATGAAAGCTTCCCTCTGTGTACACTGAAGGTCCCTGAAAAACACCACACACTGGCAGATTGCGCATATCTCAGTTTGACATACAGCTACAAATCCACTCAGTGGGTACCTGTATTCTCTCTCACTATAGTACTTGCACCTACTGACCCCTTCAGAAGGGATCCATCTGTAAAACTGTAGAAACGATTGGGAGACAGGTCCACCTTAGAGAAGTTGCTCCAGGCAGCTCTATCTTCAGTCTCTGAAAACTTGTCGCAAAGCTGTATTTTTGACCATACTGTCTCCACGTCTTGCCATTAGTGGAATAGCCGCCACTGCCCAGGCCCAGATTAGAGTATGCTGCAAGGCAGATAGGCTTCTCCACCTACCAGACTGGTGTAACCTCACCGCATTGGATGCAGCCACCCCCAAGATATACAAATCCAGTGGTGTCAGGTCCAGTAGGATTTGTTGCACATGGGTGAGACTCACTCTTGCCACCCCATCTTGGACTCGGACACACCATACTAAAGCAACTTATCATAGCATGGGGCGGACTATGGCCATAATCTTTGGGGTAGCACACCAATGACTACCTGTAATTCTATGGCTTGTTCTTTTTTTCTGTGGCCTTCTTGCACTTTTCATTTACATGTCTTCTCCAGTTTTCTGTCTAGGGAGACACCCAGAAACTTAACTGACTCGGACAAGGAAAGTTCTACTCCCTCCAACTCTGGAGGTGAGTTACCCTTCCTTGACTTCTTATGGCTAAAAAGAACCCATTCTGTCTTGTTTGGGATGACAAAAAGCTCCTGCTCCTAGCACCATCTGGATACTGTATTTAGCCCCCTCTACATTAGGTTACATACAGTACCCAGGTAGAAGCCTTCTATAAGTATGACCAAGTCATCTGCATACCCTTGTATGTGGAGTCTAATCTAATCACTTAGTAGGTCATCAACAACCAGGAGCCGACACAGGGGCAAGAATACTCCTCCCTGTGGACAGCCCCGTCTGAGGTAGATGGTTATCATACAGTCCTTCAGAGTTGAATAGGCTTTCCTTGTCAGAAGAATGAAAACGGACCAGTTTGTAGTTGTCTCATCCACATCTCTGCTGCCAAGTGCTCTCTCTATAGCTTCTACAGGTACATTATTAAATGCCCACTGTGAGCCAAGGAAGCAGCCAAGCGTATATTGTCCCTGTGCCAGACAGTATTCGTAAAACATCATGTAGGGCTGTTTCTGTGAAGAGGAGGAGAAGAGGAGGAGATAGCTCTTTGTAATTTTTATAGTTTTTTAACATTTTCAACTTTGAAGCTATTTTTCTCATAGAAAATAAATTCGCTTCTCTGGTCATTTTGTGCTTCAATCAGACTTTAGCCGGTCTTTTGATAATTTTAGCCGTAATTTGTTACTTTTTGCTTTAAGAAGACCATTCTACTTTTCATGAGACATTTAACACTTCCCTTTAGCTTCTAGCTAGCTCTTTTTTTATTTTTTTCAAACAAATTTAGCTTTTAGCACAGTTTAAAAATACTTGTTGTGTGTTTATTTGGACATTAATCCCTGACGTAAAAATGATCTCAAACCGATTTTTGCATAAAAGAAAGGTAATTTTTTTGTCTAAATATAATGAAGTAACAGTGTAAAACGACCTGACAACATGTTTCAGCTCATAAACATCCCGCAGCAGAGCCCACAGAACGTGTGAAGGAACACTGACCTCAGATCAGTTCAAGCTGTGCCCCTCAGAGACTAAAATAATCTCATTATTCTCAGGGGCAGCTCCTTTGGTCCGGGGCTTTCTTTATTTACTGTCTCCTCGCTGATGTTTAACAAATGAGAAGAGCATGACTGCTCCCCGAAGCCGAGGGGCATGACTTAAATTAGGCAGAGAGCCTCGTTCCCTGAATGATTCATCCCACGGATCCAGAGATGCAGCGACGGAGGCAACCAGGCAGCTAAATGCAGGCTGATGTGACGAGCTTCGGCTGGCGAATAACCAGCTGCAGCACAGACATGAGGGTTTGCTCGTGAGCTTTACTGACTGGATGAAAACTGGATCAAACATGGCAACATCAACGCACTGCTAAAACACGAAAAAGGAAAACAGCCAAAGAAATTGCTTATTTTGTGAAAATACAGCGCAAACTGAGAGCAGAGCGACTGCTGAAAGTTACCGAAGAAGTTAACATTGAGTTACTGAAGTTAAAATGATCAGAACAAAAGCTAAAATTAGCTAAACAAAGATTAAAAGCCAAGGTCAGCAAAACAGTAGCTTAAGGCTAGAGCCAGCGTAACTAACAACTAAAATGATCAAACAAGTAGCTAAAAGCTAAATCCAGCAGAAACCTTGGCTAAAGGTTAAAAATGACGCAAGTGTTGAAGTAGAAGAGCACGAAGTTTTTGAATAATTTGAAACGTTCTCAATTGGATAAATTAAAGAAAATAAATGACAAACACCAGAAGTTTATAGTATCCTGGACCAGCTGAACGTTTTGTAGAAACTATAACAGAAAACGATGGAAATGCTGACTCAGCGCTCACCCTAAAATGACGACTAGAACATTTTTGAACAAACGTTGAATGATTTCAATGGAGCCGCTGCCTAAAGTTCAAACATAATGTTGTAATGATCTAAGATCTGAAAAAAAAGCTGATGTTTTGCTGTATGAACCGTAGAAGTGTAAAATGACAGGCAGAAACAGACTAAAAAGTAAGCCTCAAAACAACAATTGCTTGCAAAAAACTAAAAGTCAGATCTGATGGTCACACGTTTATGTTTAGGTTTCCACGGTGTTGTGGAGATGTTGCTTTTGTAACCGGTCCCTCTCTGCGTTGTGCTGGTTATTAGGGAAGGATTAGGCTGTGACACGGTTTATCTTGGGCATGGTTGGTTTCTCCATTTATTCTGACAAACAAGAAACAGAAAACAACCACGTTATTGGCCTCCCGCTCCAGGTACTACACAAAAGAAGTGTATATCACAAATCGAAAGTAAATTCCTGCTATTTTACAATCGATGGTTCGCTTAAATTAATGATGGGATGGATTTATATGTTACACCTGTGATGATAACAAAAATGAACTTAATAAATTTATAAATAAACAGGATGTATTTAGATGAAAAATAATTAACACCCACCTTTCCGTAGGACGACGGTACAAAAGGGGAGAGTATAAGGGGCGCCAACAATTTAACAAAACAATACCACAGAAGAAGAAATGAAAAGGAGGGGCTTCAGATCTTAAAGTCACACGCTTATAATAATAAGGGGGAGTG